CCATAATCCCAAATTACGAGGATGCGCTATTCCAACGTTTATAAAACCAAAAATATTTAGTCTATAATTAATTGTGACAAGAACGACATCTCCGGTAGCCGCAAATACAGATCCCTCCACGCTCATTCCCTGTCCATTTGTGAATCCTCCACCATGTATCCAAATAAACACAGGTCGCCTGCTTGAATTATTCAAATCGTTTGGAGCAATTATATTTAGATGTAGACAATCCTCTGAAACTTGAAGATTTGGCAAAAGACGGTTGTCTTGACCTAGAAACTGCATACAGTTAGGGCCGTATGAGGTGGCGTTTAATACGTTCCCCCAGGCACCGAACTCTTGAGGTTTTTCAAAACGTAGATCTTTTAGTGGTGGTTTGGCATAAGGAATTTTTCTAAAATGATAAATGATTTGTTTTTCTGACACTTTAATCAAACCGTTTACTGTTCCTAAATGGGTTCTGTGTGTATAAATTCCATTGTCTCCTTCTGCTGGCGATGAAACCATGAGAACGAGCAAAGACAGCAAGAGAAATGTGCAAATCTGAAACACATATATCTATTCATTATTTTTGAAAAGGCAAGTATGACTAAGATATCTTGTAATAAGAAAACCACCTCAATGTTGATGTCATTTCTGTTTTGTTTTGTTTTGTTTTTTGTTATTGGTTTACAGCCTTATCGGTATATACACACATAATCTTGTACTCATACACCAGTGTTCCTGTGTCTTTTTTTTTACAAATGTATTTTAGGTTTCTATAAGAGCTCAATTGCTGAAGATGCCACGTTGATTTGCATTGGTACTTTGTTGTGTGTTTTGATTTCTATTTGTTTTTTAAAGTATTAATTGGTAGAACCTTGAAATACTGCAATAAAAATAGTAGTTTTGTTTTCAAGTCACATCTAACCTTGTTTAACCCATAGGTAATACCTTTATCTGACTAAAATACAGATTCTCAGTCGTTTCTTAAAAGCCTTGCATGTAACCAAGGCCTGGACACATGCTCATTATATCAATCAGATTTGTAGTATCTGTTGAAAGCCGGGAACACGGTAGTCGTTGTCCATTAATTCTATCAGTTTGTATGCTATGTGTTTACCATTTTGCCTAATATTTTGAATGTAAGTTTTCTAAATTAATTTTGGAAATCACAGGATAATAGTTCTCAGCACAAATGGAAACCATTTTACTCTCAAAAATCTGTTCATGACATTTTAACAATTGCATTTTACAACTAGAATTCACAGCTAGGCTTCTGAAACTTTACATAAAATTTTTCTGAACTTTTAATGCATATGTTCTGCAATGAGTTCAGCTGGAGATCAGTCCTGTGTTTAAATCACATTACTATATATTTTTTTTACTTAGTATTGTTTAGGTATTAAAAAAACATGGTGTAGAAAGGTCATATATTTATGATTCAAAATAAACAGATACCGAAAACTAGAAAGTCATTGAAATACCACTGTCCAATCTCTTGAAAGATCAAAACAATGTCTTCATGCATCTATCAGAAAACCTTCACACTTGAAACTATCAAAAATCAAGTCAAATTCAAGGTTGTGAAAATAGATTGGCCTATCTGAATTGCATACAAATGTAAGATAACGAGTTCATGACACGTGTTTCTAAATAAAAAAACTCTCAGACAAAACTTTTTTGAAGCCAAATACATATATCATGTAAAGCGCACCGAAGCATTTTAGCATCGAATTCCAATTGAGATCGAGAATACAAGTTAAGTGTTGGCGTAAAGAAATGCTTTAAAGATGGCATAGAGTATATTATTGGATTTCCAATAATGCATCAAAGGAGATTTAGGTTAACGTTAATAAGAAATCAACCCAACGATAAAATATAACCATGATACATCTAAATGATCATACTGCAATCTTCAAACATAGACAGGTGTCTACACAATATAACAAGCTCTAATTCAATCTGAGTCTAAACAAGTTGTAAATAAATTAAACACAAAATTCTCCATATTCCCAACAAAAAATTAAGATGTGACATGAAACAGGCTCTCGCGAGTTTTCTGACTTGGAATAAGCACGTGCAATTGAACATGTTAGGGATTAACTATAGTTTTCTTTTCTACCTCAGCTCCCTCATTTTAATCTAGATCAGTGAACTTTCAAAATGTACATAAAAAAACATATAGAATTATACATTTATGAATAAAATTTGTTAGCCCGAATAATTTTATGTTTCATGTCTTGAAATATGTAATAACTACAATTTCTAAAGTTGGAGCTGCGCAAAAACATTGCGGACATATCAATCGGCCTACCTTTTTCATTTTGCTATACCTGCAATTTTGTTTTAGTCACACAACTATTCCCTTATCAGTAAACTATATTCAGATATCAATAATAGGTATATACCTATTTTGCGATCATCTTCATTTTCCTGTTTATATGCGACTTGTTCCAGGTTAGTAGGGCAAAGGTTGTGGTGTTGACTCGAAAATATAAAAGAATTTGAAAACGCATTGGGAAAAAATATTGTCAAATAAAAGTTATAAGATCTCAAAGGATAGCAAAGAATGAAATTTAAAATGCATGGCATTTACCGCATCTTGGAGTTTATTCGTCTTGTGATTTTTTTTAAGTCCAATTCTAGGTCAAACTGCAGATATGTTACTGTGAATGTCTATAACAAGTGTTGTTACTTTTCGATATGGCTTCCAATGGAGGTAAAAGTTTATCATGATTGAAACCCTTTGGAAAATATATTTTCTTTTTTTTTCCGGCAGCAAAAAAAAGAATAGAAAAGGAAAAAAACAATGCAGAAATGTTCTTTAGAAGTTACTTACAAAGTGTTTTTAAACAGGCTAATGGTAATGTACTGTTGCATAAGTGGATTTGTCTTAAATATGTTTAAGTACAGTATCATGACAGAATGAAATATAATACATTTAAAAAAACTACTAGTAGGTTAAAGGGTTTGTCATATCAGGAATATAACTAAAACGTGTGTTATAAATCAGGGATTGTTTTAGATTGTAAGCATGAAACCATTCACGTTTGATATTTTCCACGTAAAAATGGGTTTTCTAAGTATGATGACTGTTTCATAAAAATGATAAACCAAATGAGAAGGTATGATAAAGCCACTTTTTTTTACCCCTTGATTTTCAAAAATCAAAAAGTATTATAAATCTACCAAATAACATCCTTCAGATGTTCATAAGACCATGGCAATAGAATACTGTCAATATACTTACTAAACCCCTAACGGGAGGGATAGTGCTTGATTTTCATATGATAAAGACATAATCTTTCAATCAGTTTAATTGAGGTCTGGAGCTGGCATGTCAGTATCTGCTAGTAGTCCTTTGTTGATTTATGCTATCATTGTCATTTTGCTTAGTTTCTTCTGTTAATTATTCTAACATCGTACTCGGACTTCCTTTAAACTGAGTTTTACTATGCGTATTGCTATGTGTTTGTTTATTCTACATTGGCTAGAGGTATAGGGGAGGGTTGAGATCTCACAAAACATGTTTAACCCCGCCGCATTTTTGCGCCTGTCCGAAGTCAAGAACCTCTGGCCTTTGCTAGTCTAGTATGTTTTTTTTTATTTTAGTTCATCTATATGTTTCGGAGTTTAGTGTGACGTCCATTTTCTCTGGACTAGTACACATTTTTATTTAGGGGCCAGCTGAAGCCTGCCTCCGGGTGCGGGATTTTCTCGCTGTGTTGAAGACTCATTGGTGGCCTTGGGCCGGCCGTTTTCTGCTCTTTGGTCGGGTTGCTGTCTCTATGACACATTCCCCGTTTCCATTCTTAATTTCATTTATGTCCCAGTAAGACATTGGTCCGTCGGACATCAGTATTTATGTTTTTGAATTTTGTTTTAAAAAATGGCAAATAGATTAATACTTCAAACTTCAAGTTACATTTAGTATATAACAGCAAAAAGTGCCAAATTAACCTCATTTTGAGATCTTGTCATTTATATTTAAATATGAGAAACATTTTTAACCAACCTGAAAGATATTTTGATACAAAATGTATTTTACAAAGATGTCAATGTGTGTAAAATATCTTTTTGCGTAAAGCGGTTGATCATAGATATTTGAACAAAAAAGTGAAATTGGCATTTTAGGTCAAATGCGTCAATTTCGACATGTTTAATGTAGATGGGGTGGGTTTAAATTAAAATCCATCGAATTTTTTAATAATTTGTCAAAAATTAAAATAACAAAGATACCGAACTCCAAGGAAAGTTCAAAACGGAAAGTCCCTTATCAAATGGCATAATTAAAAGCTCAAAAACATCAAACGAATGGAAAACAACAGTCATATTCATGACTTGGTACAGGCATTTCCTTATGTAGAAAATTGTGGATAAAACCTGATTAAAATGTAGTTTATATCTTTATGCTTTTGTCAAAAATATAGTAAAAAGTATGGATCACCGGGCTTTTTTTTACGCTACAGGTTGTGCAAAATTGTTAGATTTTGTATAGATTATGCATGGAAAACCCAATTTTGTGTGACAACAAAGAAGACCACACCTTAGATTTAAAATATGAGAAGATAGCTCTAATAATATGCTTTCAGATAAGAAAAGAAAAAAAAATGGGGTCACCAGACTTGTTTACTTGCTACATAATAAAATAGGTAAATTCACAACACATTCTATTATAAAAGTTACTTTATCTGAGTTATCTCCCCTTATGTGGCTAAGTTGAAAAAAATGAATCAAACAAAAATATCCTGTTTTTTGTAAAATACAGCCATAAACTATGATAAAACAAATAGTTTTCTATATATACACGAAAATTCTTACACAAGAGTTACATACTACTCTCGAAATTTGCACATTTTATTAAAGATCTAGACCGATTGTTATCTGCTATTTCAAAATCAAAGATGGAAGAAGACACCTCTATGTCTATGGTATTAGTTAATGATTTTATCAATTCAATAAAATTACCTGTCTAGCTAAATTTCCGGATTTGAAAAAACGGTACCGACTCTAATAATATTAACAATTATTGATTTCCTGTTTTGATTTTGTCAACACGTGCACGATATTTTTGTTGAAATTCATATGAAAACATGAGCAAGAAACAGCTTAGTAAGTGAAAAACTATTGTGCTTTGAAATTGGTTCATTCTTTCTTAATATAATACTAGGATTTGTCCAGAATATCAAGTTTAACTTAATTTGGGAATATCTTCCATGGACAACTGCTTTACTCTACCTTTATTGTGCTAAAATGGCTGTGTCTATGTCACAAAATTTACTCCGAGTGCAGACAAACCTGTGCATCTGTTTAGAAATTATGGCATGGCAAGATGTCAAAACCTAGATAGAAAAAAGTTAAATGAATTTTGTGTTTCAGAAAATTCAATTTTTTGGGGGATTCTGAGATTCATTTATTCAATCTTGCAGAAGATGGTGAAATAAACAAACTACTGAATTTCTTTTATATGGTCCTCTCAGTTATACTGCTTAAATCACCTATTGTTGTGTGATGTCCATTGACCCTCTATTGTCATAAGTCCAGGCCAAAATTAAAAATATGTTTGTTTGCCCTTCTCCAACCCATCATTTTAGGTTTGGGTAGGTAGGTAGGAAAACTAATTTATCTTATTATTAAAAACTTCAAAATTTTACACAAATTTTGTCAAGATGACTGATTTCTGTCTACTGTATTATTTTGCCACTTTTAATCACTGAATGCACAGATCTGCTTTTTTGTGCAATTATTATGTTTCATGATAATCCCTTTTGGGATTCTGAGTTCCGTGCAATTTCTGATTTGGCCGTCTCAGAATCCCTCATCAAGCCCTATCAAGTCTATTTGGGAAAATTTTTGCCAACTACCTCACATTGAACTGGTGCCTTTTTCACCTACATCACCATTCTGTACACCTGAAGAAGTTAAAAATTAAATAGAAGACATACATGTATCAGCCTTTCAGAATCCGTTAAAATTTTGAAAATAGCTTACCTTAAACCATAATATTAGCTTCAGAGGTAAATTACAGGGCCAACTTTCTTCTGGTTCAATTTTCTGATTTCTGTAGAATCAAAAGTAAGACACAAATCTTTTAGAGTTCAATGTGCTGTTCATACTTTTTTGTTTGAACTTTTGGAATTTGAACATCCTTATATTATTATAACACCGACCATGTGAGACCTTCATGGGTAGTCAAGGTCATTTAACACACCCTAGTAGTTAGTAATTATATCAGAATTTATTTTGTTTCATGATAAGTTACATTGTAGAAATAAATAATGGTGTCAATGTTTCCCACAACAAAATATTTTAAGTAATGACAAGTCTAGTTTGACTCACAGTTAAGTTGTTGGGGTAAAAAGGGGCAGGTACATGTAGGGGTTCCAGTCAATTAAAAACATTGATGGGCCTATGGTCATGTTATTATCTTTATTATTTTCAGACAGGAAGAGTAGCAAAAGACAGTCTGCAAAACATAGATATAAGATTTTAAAGAAAGTAAGCAATGTTATGGTTGGAATGCTGTGTGATTATTTCAGATTCTTTTTGTATTGAAGTAGGGCAATATCCACCAGGTTCCTTCACCTCATTTACACATGGTGCAGATTCAAAATATTAGTATCAGAATAATAATTGAAATGAAATGTTCAAATATAGCATGTGTAGTACACATGTATAAACAAATGTATGCCATTGATTTGTAACATGCAAAGACTGAAACTTCAAATTCGAGATCCATCAACTGCAAAATGCAGTACAGCGATTTTCTTGACTTCATTTTACTGCCTGTTAAAAGGCAATTATATCTACCTGGAATTCTTAGACTAAAATTTTCTCAAAAATATCAGAGATACTATGTACTACCACTGAAGTTTGCAAACCTGTTTACCACTACGATTTTAGCATAGTTTGTACGATTTTTGGCACTCAAATTATGCTAGACACCCAAATAGGTCATTTCTACGCTTTCAAAGATGTTACAGTAAAAAATACGGCAGTATGTAATTTTGAATCCAAAGAAAGTTATCCAAAAACAAAATAGAGTCTTTGTCTTTAAGCACTTGATAATGATTATAAAAGTATGTCTTACAAACACTCTGGTGATCGTGACTTTCAAGTTTGACACACGGCACGATCCTGAAATGAAAGTATCATGGATGGAACAATGAAGGGGGAAATGAAAAAGACAAGCAGAAGAAGCTTTGTCAGCGTTTAAGGCAGGAATATGCTGAAATTTGGAAGTGTCTTGATTCATCCAAGAAGCTAAGGGAGACCAATACGTACACTGCAGGTTTATATGCCATAGGACTCTTCATGTGGGCAAAATCAAGTCATTGTTGTTTTACTGAATTATTATTAAAAGTTTGAATAATTAATTTTAACTGTTCAAAAGTTTTCAATTAGTTACATGTATTGTGATGCCAGACATATTTCAAAACGCAATTACTATCAAGAGGTCAGAGAACGTAAATTTCTCGATGTTTGGACCAAGGACAGACCATGGTTGTATCTTTGAATTTACAAGAGAATGAATTAATAAAATTTATGAAGAACACATATACATGTATTGTGTTCAATATTACTAATCCAATTGAATTTATATATTTGGTATCTTCAAAACATGACTCTCAAAGCTCTCAGAATGCAGGATTTTGCATCAAATTTTTCAAAAAAATTTCAATGGGGGGGGGGGGAGGGGAGGGTGGCAACAGTGATGGGTCTCTGAATTCATCAGGTAAAAACCTTAGTGAAACCCTGAACTCTAGTATATGTTTTGTCTTATTCCTTCACTTTAGGACAAAGTGCAATGTAGGAACTGTGTTACAGAGTATTAAACACTGCTTTCTTGTATATTTGTTACATTTATAAAATTTCGTATGTTTTCCAAAAAAGTTGTTATGTTTTCCCAATGAAAAAGGACAGTGGTAGTACATGTACAAAATGTACATGTTTATAAATGGTAGCAGTCACTGTACTACCATGTGTACAAACTGAAATGTACATCTGCAGTGCATGTTAATAAATGAGAATAATTTAAATATATATATGATGTCTTATTTCAGATCAGTCAACACCATAAGAAAGAAAAGAAAGAAAAAAGGAAAAATCCAACCAATAGTAAGGATTAACAAAAGGAAATGAAAATATCTAAATGAGGAAATATGAATTATTTGTTAATAATTAATTTACATGTTTTCAAACTATATATATACACAGTAAATTCAGAAATGTATGTTTTTTACTAAAGCCAAAAATTCAACAGAATTTACTGACTAACCTCAATTAAAGTTAAATATTTTTAATAGTGTAGAAACCATTTGTTGGCGATTAAAACAAAAGGTTACCTATAGAAATTGTTGCTGTCTGTAATTAAAAACAAAAGCTATTTCATAAAAAAGTGTAAAATTTAGTTTATTTGTTATCTCAACTATCAAAATTACAGATTCTGTACACATGATTCACGAACAAGTCAGCAATTGTTAATTTAAGACGGAACAAATTCAACAAGGCTGTCTTCTCTCTTAACTCTTCAAAATATAGCCATGCACTAAACCACTGTTAAGTGATTAGATTATTAACTTTTCCATGGGTTTTGAAGAAGGACTATATTGAGATTTCTCAGGGCTAGTCTGTACTGTCTCTGATCGTGTGTTCATCTGAAATCAAAACGATATTTTTCAGATTATTGTATTTGATTCGCATTTTTCTATTCTATCTCCATCAGTTAATTAAATACAAAATATTAATCTCATTAGATATAAGAATAAGGAGATGTGGTATGATTGCCAATGAGACAACTATCCACAAGAGTTCAAATGATGTGGATATAAGCACAGAGTTTGCGAAAACTTATTTTGACCCGTCAGTCATGGGACCGACAAAGCATGATTATTTGTCAGTCCTACAAAATTTTAGCCAGTCCTACAAAATCTGTCAATTTTATCCTGAAATAAAATTTATAAAATATTTTATCGAAAAATAACTTTATTAATATTAGTTTTATTCTTCACACCCACAGGCAAATTAACAATGAAGGACCAGTTCAGGTCTTCTGATTGTTCTTATTTAAAGTCATCTTCACTATCCATTTCATCATCTGTATCACTTTCTCGGCTGTTACAGTATTTGTTTGCTCCATTGTAGGGTTCAATCGCCAATTGTTTGCCAGGGATGGCTCTATGAACAAATTTAGTAGGCCACGTGTAGATCGCCGCTTTGGTTTGTTATATAAATCCTTAAACCAGTACCGGAAATTGGCAGCGGGTACATCTGATAACCGATGTAAACACTTATTGGAAACAATTGCGGTACATCTAATAACCGATGTAAAAAAGTGCCGAAATATGCACTACAACGGCCATTTTTACATCGGTCATCGGGACCGGCACTAGCCTTCAAAATACTGGTCCGAGCCTCATTTTGACCAACAGGACCGACCATTTTCGCGAACTCTGTAAGCAGTTTTAGGTCACTGTACAGCCTAGATCAGATTGTAATTAACCACATTCATTTATTTTAGAAAAGAAGAAAGATCCTGGAATACCAAACAGTTTACCATTCAAAGAAGAGATTTTGCGTGAAGCTGAAGAAAGAAAAAGAAGGGTAAATACAATGTATTTATTGTATATAAAATTTTATCTTGCCTCCTATACATTTCTAGGAATATCATTGTATATTGGGTTAGTGGGTGTGTTTTATTTTAATATTGGGTTAGTAGCAGTGTTACGTCCCTTTGTAAAAAACACATGACGTTAAATAAATTTATCTTACCGACTATCTTAACATGTGACATTTCGACTAATGGCCTGTCAAGGTGATCAAGTCTTCAATATAAAGAACCTACTTCCATTGGTTCATACAAAAACAAATGTCAACAGTAAACAACTTGTTAGCTTCTAATGATTTTTCTGAATATATTTCAATCGTTCATCATCAATTTCTTCATCTGTTGTCCAGGTGAAACGTTTCAGATTTTTCCTTGACGCTATGTTGTTTTTATAAAGGGACGTAACGCCACCACTAACCGTATATCAAAATAAACCACCCCTACTAACCCCATATGAAGTATACAAGATCTCCACACGGTCACTTTTAACCAATGATACTCCTAGACATGTATAGAAGGTAAAATAAATTGTGATGCTGTCATAAAATTAATGTGAATGTTTGGAGCAGACATGAGTATAGAGAAGCGTAACTTTTCAAACAATCATAATCAGAATTTTCAGACCATTTTTTTTCTAAAGGAAAATTTACTCCCTCCAGTTGAAAGAGTAAAGACTTTGAAAGGAAAAATATGCAAATGTATATATGATGTCTTATTTCACACCAGTCAGCATCATGATGGTGTTAAGACTAACCTCATTAAGATTTTCTTGATGATCTGTAATATGCAAAAGGGCTAATCTAAGAAAAAAATTATTGGTGGGATTGGAAGACATTTATTTCCAAGACCTACCACCCAAACAATTTTATATAAAAATTCAAAGTGTATTATATATATTATATTATGAAAATTGTTCTGAACTCAATTGCTCCTAAACAAAATGTATTGTTTTATAAAGTAACTTCCAGTCTTCCATTAATTTTTTGTTCTGGAAAAGCCCTAAATGAAAAATTAATCACTAAATAAAGAATGTTTTGATATTTTTTAGCAATTTTTGCCATCAACCTTTACTTCTTCAAAGTGTTTATTTGTCACAGATGGGATTATCAAATTAATCTGGTATAGAATTTTTTTTGAGCTGATAGAAACCACTTTTGAGTAGAAAGAAAAAATGCAAGTGCAACATAAATTGTGTTTTTTTTTAATATCTGTAGGCAGAAGAAGAAAGAGAAAAACTAAAGGAAAAGAGAAAAAAGGATAGAGAAAAGTTGAAAATGAAGAAAAGAAATTTAGATGGAATGGTAAAAGATGCTCAGAAAAAAACAGCTGAATTTGAAAGAAAGGTAATGAAATGAAAATTTTTTGTGAAACAAATAAAAAAAAGTAGATATTTGAGAGAGAAAAATATTAAAATTCACACAAAAAGTTTGCATTGTAAAAGCTGCAGGAATTAACCATTAAGCTATCTGAAAAGTGATTTATGTTGTCATCAGGAAGTATTCATTTATCTATTCAGATTCCAAGAATAATCATTCTTTATTTCATGACGATTTTTATTAAAGTAGGACTTTTCAAAGGAGAAATCAATTCAAAGAGTAAAATTGGACTAGTCTTGGCTCACTTCATCAATGATAACAAATGGGAAAGATGTTTGATTTTTTTTATCACAAGTTTTAAGGTTTTAACAGTTATAATTCTTGGTTTCATGAAGTTCTGTGTCATGGCATACTTTAAAAATCTTTTTTGTACAAAATAAGAAAAGTGATAAAAAGGTTCTACTTACTTTTATGCATAATTTTATTTTATAGCAAGAAAAGAAGTCCTCAGGAGAGTCACATACTAGTAATGGTGCTGTAGAAAATTCCCTGAAGACATTCTATAAAGAATTTAAAAAGGTTTGACAAATTGTTTGTTAGAAACTGAAAATGTCTTATGATATATCTGTTATAATATAAAAATAAGAAGATATGGTATGATTGCCAATGAGACAACTCTCCACCAGAGACCAAATGACATAGAAGTTAAAAGCTATAGGTCAACGTACGGTCTTTAACAATGAGCAAAACCCATACCACATAGTCATTATAAAGGCCCCGAAATGACAAATTTAAAACAATTCAACCAAGAAAAAATTAACCGCCTGATTTATGTATAAAATAATATACGAAAAACAAATATGATATACATATATACTTATATATATGATATAAGTCTCCGTACATCCTTCAACACTGAGCAAAACCCTTACCTCATAGTAAGCTATAAGTAGCCCCAAAATGACACATGTTTAACAATTCAAACAATAAAAGAAAAAACAAATATGATATACAGCAACAAATGACAACCACTGAATTACAGGCTCCTGGCTTTGGACAGGCACATACAGAATGTGGTGGGGTTAAACATGTTACAGATGTTTTAATGTTAAATGAATTCAGCTGAACATTTAGATTGATGGGTTTTAAAAGAAAAGATATCGGTTATGATTAGGTCATACTTTGAAACCTAAAATACACATCGATCAAACATGCAATTCTTATTCAAAGTCTACTATAAAAAGTATTAGAATATATTTTTACTATTTACATGTATATCATCTGTTCATATTTTTTCCACTTAAAAATCAAATTAATTCAGATGCAAATAATTTATATTCTTAATTATTCTGATGCAAATAATAGATCGTGTTTTTATATAAGGGGTACATAGTACAAAGGAAGTAACCCTGGATTAAATTCATGATATTAAACTTTCAGTTTACTTTTAAATGGGGAGCTCTATTCATGAAATAGTGAAAAAAAATATTTATTCAATACTCAACCAAAACATTTATTTACAAGAGCAGTAATATGTTTTGTATAAGTACCAATTATTAGGTTGTCTGCATATTGATACTGTAAAATATCAGCTGTGAGTCACAGTTTGAAGCTTTTTGTCATGTGAGCACAGCGAATGCGATCAAAAAGGCTTCATATTGTGTCGAGCAGCTGATATTTTACAATATCAGTATGCATACAACCAGATAATCAATTTATCAGGTTCTATTTGCACATTTTGCATGATAGAAACAAGTGTTTTCTTTGTTTCACCAGCAAACCGGAAGATGACGTGATAAGTTCGGGTCATACTTATCAACGTCGGTTTACCGGTATATATTATGACGTCGGTGATATGTCCGGGTCAAAGTTATTAAGGCCGGGTCAACGTATTTGACGTCACAAAGCCATGATATGCAATTTTATTAAGAGCCAAGCAGAGTGATACAGACAGAGGGGCGACAGATAAAGCTGTCTTTATTATATAACATTTAGTGAAATATAATGAAATACAGAGTAAAAGGTTAAAAATTGTTTGAAATAGACAGAATATTGGAGCATAATTTACATATTTCTCAATATTAACCTATTTTAAAGGTTGTAGATGCTGCAGATGTAATTCTTGAAATTCTGGATGCAAGGGATCCTCTTGGTAGCAGGTGTACCCAAATGGAAGAAGCCATATTGGAAAGTGGCACAAATAAACGTTTAGTCCTTATATTGAATAAAATAGGTTTGTCAAGTTTGATAATTAGCACTGTTATCCTTTTGATGTATGTTTTGAGGTGGGTTTTTTTTACTGAAGAAAAATTTATTTTTTATTATATTTATAGCATTGGATTAGAAAAGATATTAAACACGATATTCCAAGACACAAAACAATGACACTTTTGACCGAATTCCACCTGCTCTTACATAGTAAACTAATAGTTACCCAAAATGCATTGTAATTTTTTGTGTTTTTTTGGTCAATATCTCAAAGTCATGTTTATATTTTGTGTTTGGCAAATTACAATGCAAATTTAACCTCAGATCAGAAATTTGGTGCTGTTGACCAGTTTACTTTCACTCCTTTGGTCACATATAAACAATAAGACATTGAGAACAAAGTTGCATCAAATGAACATGATGAAAGTGAGATTGCGTAGGAAAAGAGGCAGTTCCTTGTATTTTAAATTTTGATTATATTAAAATTCAATGTGGATAAAAGAATAACTAATCCATAAGCTTGAATGTTGAGAATTTTTCAACCAGTCACCCAACAACACATTAATTCACAAATGTGTGTATCTATAAATACTGTTAATTCAAAAATGATTGTATACCTTTAGTAATTGTTGATCAATAAACAAAATGTAAAATAGTGGCAAAACATGTTGACCACAGTAAATAAGAGAATTTCCTGCCATAACTGTGATGTTGTTTTTTATAGGTTGGATTTTTGTGGTTTTAAGACAACTGCAGCATACTTCGGTATCCATCCTGATTACTCTACCAGTTTGTACTGCTAGAAGGTGTTGGTTTGCTTGACTTATTTAAAATGTGAAATTAATAATTTTGTGATTTCAGGAAATGATGTTATTTCTAATTAATGCAGTATTTATCCTTGTCACCATGTATAATGATGAAATACAAAATTTCTAGATTTACAGTATTTGAAATTTTGTTTGTAGATCTAGTACCAAGAGAAAATGTTGAAGAATGGTTGAAACATTTGAGAAATGAGTTCCCAACACTAGCTTTTAAGGCTTCTACACAAACACAGAACACAAATCTTGTAAGTCGTATAACTCAGCTGAGAAAGGGAATGTATTAGAAAATTTAGACTCAAAATTCATTGAAACAGATATCATGTAAATAATTTTTTTATTTCAACAGTAAATAGAAAAATTAGCAAAAGCTAATGTTCTTTTTTATTGAAAAATATTAGTACTGGAAATGATATGATCATCTGTTAGTAAACTTGCGTTGGAATAAAGTGAATGTTCATAGTCTGCCATTCAGTTTTCTTTTGTAGCAGTACCACATGATCATTAATACTTGGCAACTGTATGCCATTAATAATTGCTCTGTCTAAATGCACTAATTATCTGCATGAGCAATTCATTTTAAACAAAAGTTAGAAGATGCCAAAAACATAATAGAAAATTATAAATGTGAGCTAACAGAACTCACAACAGGAAATAAGAATATATCATATATCACGTTAAAAGTCTATAAAACTAAAGCTACAAAAAAATTGATGAAAAACAAATACATACTCTTTTGAAAACAAACAGTACTATTATTTATTTTAGAGTAGAGCAAAAGTTCCTTTACAAATGGCAAGTGATGATCTTTTGAAGTCTAGTCATTGCTTAGGAGCAGACATGTTGATGAAGTTACTGGGAAATTATTGCCGGAATAAAGATATCAAATCTGCTATACGTGTTGGAGTAGTTGGTAAGTAGAGGAATTTCCAATGAAATGAGGATTATACATGCAATTTATATTCTCCCTCACTACGTCGTCCGAATACAAAGTAAGTATATTCTATGGCCTTAACAAAGAACAAAGATCTAACGTAGGTGTGCTTCTCGCTATAACCTTTAATTCTATATGTTATGTATCAAATACAAACATAATAACAATAGTAATCATATTTACAAATACAAATGCACATTAAATTATCTGTGAATAAACGTGTCTGCTTTAGGCTATAGCGAGAGTCGATGGTCAGAAAGATGAACGTACAGTACGGTTTTAAGTGCAAACAAATGGTCACATGTCATGAATATTCATGAACGGACAACGAACTAAATTTGATATATCTCAAATTTTAATGAAAACATAAAACACTGTGGATTCATTTTTTTTTTGTGGATTATGAAAAATTGTATTTTCGTGATTAATTGATTTCGTAGTTTGACAAAAGTCTATATACAAGCCTATAGAAAATTTGTAATTGGATGAAGATTCAAATTCTTGGTTCACCTTTACTCACAAAATCCACCAAATTTGGTATCCCACAAATAATAATGAAATTCACAATATTTACTCTCAGATATTTATTTGAAAGTTTTTTACACGTGTTTGTTCATCACCTAAGCATAGTCTTATTTTTCCTAATCTGACTTTTGATGATAGTTTTGAATTTGTATGCTCCTCTTACCATAGTAGGGGCATTATGTTTTCCTGTCTGTCAGTCTGTTTGTTCTTGCATTCTGTATCAGGTCAATGTTTCGGTTGAAAAGGGTTATAAATAACTTGTGAACACATCAACTTGAGATAATTATGGTGTGATATCCTTAAAGTAAATGCAAGCTAGGGTTTTACCAAGATTTAACGTTTCACTGAACATAGAAATGTGGCAGTCCCTAGTAGGGCATGGTGTTCTATGGTCAGTTGAAATCTTAGGCTGATGTCATTTTTATACCACTGCAAAAAAATTTTGCTGTCGCATATTGGTATGACGTTGTGTCGTCGTCTGCAGACACATTGGTTTTCGCACAATAACTTTATTTTAAGTGAATGGATCTCTATGAAATTTTACTATACGGTACAATACCACAAAAGGAAGGTTGGGATTGATTTTGAGGGTTATGGTACCAACAGTTAAGGAATTAGGGGCCAAAAATAAGCATTTTTCTAGTTTCCAGACAATAACTTGTGGAACGGTGTATGGATCTCTCTGAAATTATACCACAAGTTTCCATACCACAAAGGGATGGTTAGGATTTGCTTTGGGGGTTATGTCTCAAACTGTTTAGGAATTAGGGGCGAAAAAGGGGGAAAAACAAGGGTGTCCTGGTTAATGGACAAATACTTAGTACAAAACATAATTTAAAGCAGTGTAAGGGAGGTAATTCAAATACATCATTTGAAATACCTCCCTTACACTGCTTTTAAATTATGTATAGAGTAATGGTTAATGAACAATTAAGACAATTTAAAAGCAGTGTAAGGGAGGTAATCCAAAGACAACGTTTTGATTACTTCCCTTACACTGCTTTTAAATTATGTTAAAGAAATGCATATTTTTTTTTTTTACAAAAAAATCCATATGAAAGATTTGACACCATATTTTAAATTCTATTATAAAATAGATTAAGTAAGCACTATGGTAAATTTAAATGGGTAATTATGGTTGCAAACTCCATTGGAAATTTGAATTGAGATTATGACCATATCTTGAGGGAAAGAATTTTTTTGGGGGAAAAAAGGGGGGGGGGGGGGTAAAAAGAAATTGTGGGGGGTCAATTTTTTGTTGGGGTTAATACGGAACAGCATAGTGTATTGCACAAAAGCAAAAAAAAAATGAATATAAATTCCATCATATAACCAATTCTAAGTTCTTTGACTACAGTTCTTCTGTATCAGAAACCTTTTATGTGTAAAATATTGAATTACAATCCAAATTCAGACCTGTATCAAGCACGAATATTGCGTCCATTTTTGTCCCAACTGTTCAGGGTTGGACCTCTGCGGTTGTGTCCAGCTGCGCTTGGCGAAGCAATTTATTAATAAGAGAAATAAGTCTTTATTACTGCATTAGATGGTTACTAAACTTGACAATTAGCAATCATATTAACCAAAGGAAATGATAAAGACACAAATATTTTAAATTACCAAAAATAGATTATTTGAAATACAATTTATATATTTTTTTCCAGGATTCCCTAATACTGGTAAGAGTAGTATTATAAATAGCTTGAAACGTGCCAAAGCCTGTAATGTTGGAGCCATGCCAGGAATGACAAGGTATCATTTTTTAATAGCTTACTAGATGCTTTTGATATAAACTTTTCTTACATATCACATTTCACAGAAGCTGTTTATCAATGTTCATCTCAAATAATTCTAAGAAACATATGCACAGAGTTACTTCAAATTTAGTCAGCAGCTCAACAGTAATGAATGGTATTGTATTTTCCTTTCAGATCTGCCAGACTGCTACTAGTTTTTACGAAACTTTGAAGTACAAATGGGGTATGCTTTAAGCACAACAATGTATGCATTTTAGTTTTTATTTCCTCTTTAAAAGATATGTTTTGTCCGTCTATTTTGTCCATCTGTTTCAGTCAGAGCTCAGACATAAATAAGTCTAAATCTGCTTTTGACTCATAGAGGTCTAAATTTGTAGGTTTCAAGATTTGTCTCCCTTTAATTTAAGACAAATTATGACTTCAATAAGTCAATTAATGTTGAGCAAGAATTATTTGACCTCAATTAATAAAAAGTTGCAAATATTGACTCCTGCAAGTCAATAAGTTACCAAAATTGGTCATCTTCAAGACCAATGCATATTTATAAAAAGGTCATGCATCTACATGAAATTATGACAACATTGAAAGACAATGCTTTGTCTTTTATAGAAAAATATGCATGAGAGCCAAAAAAAACAGAGATAATGTTTATTTACTTTACAATGCAACCACCTATAACCACACAAAATGAGGAAAATAATCTTATGTTAAGTAAAAATGTTCAATAAGATAATTAAATATGGATAGCTCAGGTCCTTGTTAACTCTCAGACAGGTTTATAATGTCACAGGTGGTGCGCTTTGGCCACCAATTAAAATTAAGTATTTTCATAAACATAAATAGACCTAAACAAGTCTGTCATTTTCTGACTTAAATAAGGCTGAAAATGAAAACACATTTTTATAATAAATACATTTTTTGACTTCTATAAGTCAAAAACAAAAAACAACTTGTTTATGTCTGAGCTCTGACTGTGTTTAATTAGAAATTATGGAAACAATATTGCTCAAATAATTGTAGAAAAACAGCTAATCTAATGAAAGACAATATAATATTTAGTTTGATATTTATTTTTTCTTCATTTTATTTCAGAACTATGCAAGAAGTACATTTAGATAAACACATCAAATTACTAGACAGCCCTGGAATTGTCATGGCAACAGGGACATCTGATACATCTGTGATATTAAGAAACTGTGTAAAGGTAAGAAGTGTACTATTGTTTTAAATGCATAAAAATTAAAATGCATAGGGTAGCTGTTCACAAAATAAAATAACATTCATTAGTCCAAGATTTTTCTGTCATCTGACGTATTTTATTAAATTGCTAGTGTCATTGGACGTCAGTTGCTGCCACTTAGTTTTTTATTGAGAATTTTGTGTTGGTGTTACATATTCAGTCTTCTCTTTTGAAATTATGAACAACTTGTCTCAGAGTGATGAAGAACTTTCCATACATTGTGAGCATTTGTTCATTTAGAATTTTAGTTGATTGTTTTGGTTAATGTATGTTGTTGAGAGGATATCTCATTGACATTTTCTTAAAATGTTCTATTAATCATACATACTATTGAAATAAAAATTATTTAGATTTTACCCTTTGCTATGTACATTTTATTTTTTCAGCTTGAAACCTTGGATGATCCCATCACACCTGTTGAAGCAATATTGAAAAGATGTTCTAAACAGCAGGTATGAAGAAAGTGAAATTTTACATGCATTTCTATCCTTCCTTACTTTAGATAATTAATAATTAGGAACTCAAATATGACTTAAATAAACTTTATTTTGTTTTAAGTCACAAAATGGTTATTTATATGAAAAGGCGTAGTGTTATGTAATATATTATCATTATTTACTTTTACAGCTGTTATAAATACAAAAATTGTGTGTATTGAATGATTATATTTCTGAGGTAAAAATGAAAAATTTGATATTTTCAGATGATTTTACATTATAATATTCCGGATTATAAAGATATTGACGAGTTTTTAGCTCTGCTGGCAAGAAGGATGGGTAGATTAAGGAAGGGAGGGATTCCAGATAAAAACAAAGCTGCTAGATCTATTATACAAGATTGGACATGGTAAGAATAAGGAATAAATGAGGAATTATTCCTGTTTGGAATTATTTAGAAGTGTATTGAATATATGAAATGCAAATTTTCTGCATTTGAAATAACCCTATGTGTAACCAAGAATTGTTTTGTTTTCTGTTCAGTTTCTTTTTTTTTTGTATAATTATTTTTTTAATATTTTTTGGTTTTTTTTTTTGGTTTTTGTATCAAAACATTTTAATAGAGAGACCATTGGTTATTTTAGGTCAAGCAATATCAAAATTTTAACTCTTTTACTGTGTATTTAGAATTTTTGCAATGTTTATTATTATGAAAAAATGTTACAGATTAAATATCATATCAATTAGAACTCACATTTTTAAATCTACACTAGAACATAACATTATTTGTTAGAAAAATTGATAAAATTGTATTAATAAATCATATTTTTGCCATTGAAAAATCAAAATAATATTGCACATAGTAATTTCTTATTTACAATGTATAATTTTTGTTACTATGGCTTGTCCCAGCTGTTGTAATCTAATAAGATGTAAAAGTTCATACAAAATATAAAGTCATTCAAAATTAACCCTAGTCCATGTGAAGTGGTCAATGAAAATTTGATTATAAAAAATCATACCTTTTGGCTGATGTCAAAGTAGAAACCATAAGATTTCCTATTTTCAGAATAAAATACCACCCTTTCTAAGTGGTCTTTTGAAAGATAAGAACTGGTAAAAAGTAGGAGCATCCATATCATACTATAAAGTATCATACAATACATGTATTATATTTCAGCGGGAAAATAAAATATTTCACACACCCTCCTGAACAACATACATTACCAACACATGTGAGTGCATCCCTTGTGACACAGATGGGGAAAGAATTCAGTATAGACGATCTTATAGAGGTGGAACAGAAAACATTACAAGGTAATTATATTTACATGAGCAGATTGAATAAGTCAATTTCAGATTGTGTTTTCATTTTGTCTTTATTTTTTTGTACTTGGTATATCTTACAGTTAAAATGAATTTTGTATGTTTCAATTGATCTCTGTGGAAAACTTTTTCCAAAAGTGAATCAACAATAGGAATGTTAAATATGATATTCCATGTTGGGATAGTCTCCTGCTTTAAAATAATATTATGGAACCCTTTCAACAACTCTTTGACGAGTCTAAAGGTTGTGTGTTGCAAGGCAAAACTTCTGCCCTCATCAAGCAAACCCTCTTTTTATAGTGGCATTTCAGATTTCCTGCTCCTCAACAAACAAACCCTCTTTTTATAGTGGCATTTCAGATTTCCTGCTCCTCATCAAGCAAACCCTCTTTTTATAGTGGCAATTCAGATTTCCTGCTCCTCATCCAACAAACCCTCTTTTTGTAGTAGCATTTCAGATTTCCTGCTCCTAATCAAACAAATCCTCTTTTTATAATGGCATTTCAGATTTCCTGCTCATCAAACAAACCCTCTTTTTATAGTGGTTATTAAGATTTTCTACTCCTCATGAAACAAACCCCCTTTTTATAGTGACATTTCACATCTCCTGCTCCTCATCAAACAAACCCTCTTTTTATACGACCGCAAAAATTTTTGCGGTCGTATATTGGTATGACGTTGGCGTCGGCGTCGTCAGAAGACACATTGGTTTTCGCACTCTAACTTTAGTTTAAGTGAATGGATCTCTATGAAATTTTACCATAAGGTTCAATACCACAAAAGGAAGGTTGGGATTGATTTTGGGGGTTATGGTACCAACAGTTAAGGAATTAGGGGCCAAAAAGGGGCCAAAAATAAGCATTTTTGTAACTTCCAGACATAACTTGTGTGTTAGTGTATGGATCTCTCTGACATTGTACCTCAAGGTTCCATATCACAAAGGGAATGCTGGGATTGATTTTGGGGGTAATTGCCTCAAAATATTAGGAATTAGGGGCCAAAAAAGGGGCAAAAAACAAGAATTTTTCTAGTTTCATGACAATAACTTGTGTGAAAGTGTATGGATCTTTCTGAAATTGTACTACAAGGGTTCATTTCACAAAGGGAAAGCTGGAATTGAGTTAGGGGGTAATTGCCGAAACGTTTAGGAATTGGGGGCCAAAAAACACATTTTTCTAGTTTCCAGACAATAACTTGTGTTCAAGTGTATGGATCTCTCTGAAATTGTACTGCAAGGTACCATACCACAAAGGGAAGGCTGGGATTGAGTTTGGGGGTGATGAATCATAAGGGGGTTCAAAAAATTTGGGGGGGGATTTTTTTTTTTTCTTTTTTTTCTTTTTTTCCTTTTTTTTTTCTTTTAAAATTTTCCATTTTAAGTTGGTTATTTCTTATTTATATTTAAAAGCAAATAATAATGATATGGTAGGAGATACACACCAAACAGGATGTGTAAATTATTATATAATAAGTATTGTGCAATAGCAAGAAATTTTCAATTGCACAGTATTGCACAATAGCAAGAAATCTTCATTTGCACAAAAGAAGATACTTCGTATAAATTGCTTATTTGTTGACCAATTTCAATGGGGTTCTTTAATATGCTGAATCTAACCGTGTATTAAGTTTTTGGATTTTGGGCCCCGTTTTTAAATTGGTCCACATTGAGGTCCAAAGGGTCCAAAATTAAACTTTGTTTGATTTCATCAAAAATTGAATTATTGGGGTTCTTTGATATGCCGAATCTAACCGTGTATTTAGATTTTTTGATTATGGGCCCAGTTTTCAAGTTGGTCCAAATCGGGGTCCGAAATTAAACTTTGTTTGATTTCAACAAAAATTGAATATATGGGGTTCTTTGATATGCTGAATCTGAAAGTTTTTGGATTTTGGGCCCCGTTTTTAAATTGGTCCACATTGCGGTCCAAAGGGTCCAAAATTAAACTTTGTTTGATTTCATCAAAAATTGAATTATTGGGGTTCTTTGATATGCTGAATCTAAACATGTATTTAGATTTTTTGATTATGGGCCCAGTTTTCAAGTTGGTCCAAATCGGGGTCCAAAATTAAACTTTGTTTGATTTCAACAAAAATTGAATATATGGGGTTCTTTGATATGCTGAATCTAACCATGTATTTAGATTTTTGATTTTTGGGCCCCGTTATCAACTTTGTCCACATTGAGGCCAAAAGGGTCCAAAATTAAACTTTGTTTGATTTCATCAAAAATTGAATTCTTGGGGTTCTTTGATATGCTGAATCTAACCATGTATTTAGATTTTGGATATTGGACCATAATAGGTGAATGTCCAATTTAAAATTTTTAAGTTCTTAGACCACATTCATTCTGTGTCAGAAACCTATGCTGTGTCAAATATTTAATCACAATCCAAATTCAGAGCTGTATCAAGCTTGAATGTTGTGTCCATACTTGCCCGAACTGTTCAGGGTCTGACCTCTGCGATCGTATCAAGCTGTGCCCTGCGGAGCATTTTATTATAGTAGCAATTCAGATGTCCTACTCCTCATCAAACAAACCCTCTTTTTATAGTGGCAATTTAGATTTCCTGCTCATCAAACAAACCCTTTTTTTATAGTAGCAATTTAGATTTCCTGCTCCTCATCAAACAAACCTTCTTTTTATAGTGGCAATTTAGAATTCCTGCTCCTCTTCAAACAAACCCTTTTTTATATTGGCAATTCAGATGTCCAGCTCCTCATCAAACAAACCCTCTTTTTATAGTAGTAATTTAGATTTCCTGCTCCTCATCAAACAAACCTTCTTTTTACAGTGGCAATTTAGAATTCCTGCTCCTCATCAAACAAACCCTCTTTTTATATTGGCAATTCAGATGTCCAGCTCCTCATCAAACAAACCCTCTTTTTATAGTGGCAATTCAGATTTCCTGCTCCTCATCAAACAAACCTTCTTTTTAGTCCCCTACCGACGAGGTCGAAGGGGACTTTAGGTTTGCACTCCGTCCGTCTGTCTGTCGGTCCGTCTGTCCATCTGTCAGTCAGGCAAATCAGTTTTTTCTTTGTGCTTGAAGATATTGATTTGATATTTGGTTTATTGATTTATCATGACAAGTTACAGGTCAAGTTCAATTTTCATGATTTAAGCCTTTCTCTTTGTTCAGTTAAAGCCCTTTCCCTAGAATTAAATTTTTGATGAAATACTTATTAATTAGTAGATTTCTGTTCAAAGGGAAATAACTCATTTTTTAAAAGACAAAATTACATTTTGGAATTTTTTCCTTTTCTTTGGTAAATTGTTTGAAGAATTTAGTGGTAGGTTTGTTTGTCATTCTTGAAGATATTGATTTGATAATTAGTATATAGTTTTACCATGACAAGTTACAGATCAACCAGTCTGATAATTTGTGCAGAGTTATGGTCTTTGGACATAGAAAATTCACTTAAATAATCAGTTTTCAACAGTTTTTTTCGTCATGCTTGAAGATTTTGACTTGATATTTTTATGTAGTTTACACCATGACAAGTTATAGATCAAGTTAGAATTTCGTTCTATTACAATGAATTTGTAACCGGTAGGGGACTATGTATTGCCATGCAATACTCACTGAATGCTTGTTATAGTGGCAATTCAGATTTCCTGCTCCTCATTCAAATAGATCCATTTTTTAGACCTTACTTATTTGATTCACTGTTTAATTTGTTTTATATGAGTGACATATTTTGCACAACATGGCATTTACAATATATTAACACTTTGTACTACCATACATATACAGGCTTGGATTGTAAAAGTAGTAAGCACATGTTAGTAGAGTCATTAGGTCCAGCCCAGGCAATCATGGACGATTCACAGCTTGATTCAGCATTGAAAGCTAATGAGAAAATAGATGATGAGGAAATGGACAATGATGATGGTGATGAAGAATCCGATGAAATGATGGAGGATGAAGAAGAAGAAGGAGAAGAGGTGACTATTCTTTTATCTTCTGAATGGAATTTTATGTCAACTTTTTCTTAGGAAGCAAGCAATACAAAATACTGTTTCAAAATACAAACGTGTAGATAGTTAGATTATTAAATCTAGCTGCTGGCTCTAGATCTGAAATAGAATAGACTTGCAATGTTTAGGAGATTTTTTTAGCTGATACAAAGTTCCCCATGATAAATCATAAAAGTTTTGGTTACCATGTCCCCTGACCCTGCGAGACCCTTATGGGTACTGGTAGTCATGGTTGTTACATACCCTATAGTAGTAACTTGTCATTATGAAAAATCAATCTTATGCAAATGTAAAACCAACAGCCCATTTGAACCTAAATAGACTTTGTATAGTAATGTCTTACTTTTTAAAACATCCAATTAACCTTTTGCTGTATTCAATACTTTTGTGTATCTAAATTATAGAACACCGATAGGCAGAATCTGATAGGTTTCATTTATTGAATGTATCAGGAAGTTTTATTGTTTCTCAATCAAACTTGTTCTTATGAAATTTAGGCATGATAAGATTTTGACATTCAAGGAAAAACCCAAAGTCTTCCTATCTAATACAACAGTTCAGAAGTACTTGACAATATTTATACAAATCAAAACAGAAAGATTTGGGTTTTCTTTTTACACATGTTCAGTTTTGAAAATATTGGGAAATCACTTAAAGAAAACTTTCATATAAATCACTAAGGTTTTCTTCCCAAAGATAGAAAATTGTCTCTGTCAGATTTGATACAACCTTAATTTCTAAATTGCGTTAGTTTTTCAACTGTTTTGATTTTGAGCACCATGTTTTATCTAGACAAAATATGTTTGGGGTAGTTATTTATGAGCCTAGTATCAATGATGGCTTTATAAACCTCTTTTATTTAGTTTTTTTTTAACCAATGTACACCATGTACTACTGCTATTAAGAACTGTCTTATGTCCTGTATTTTCAGTTAAAAAGAGTAGAGGTCACTCAGATGGCAGCAACACGATCAAGAAAGGCTTCAGTTACGTCTGCTACATCAAAGAAATCTAAAAAGTCAAAAACATCAGAAGAACTTTTAAATGATAGTCTGGATACAATATTACAACAGAATAAGAAACGGAAAGATGATTATAAGAAGATGAGAAAACAAAGGAAGAAAGCAGGTATGCATTTAAGTAAAAATTGTGGATTCATTATGTGATAGAGGCATTATGTTTTCAGGTCTGTGCATCTGTCACTTTGTCTGTAAATCTTGTATCTGATTCAAGTTTTGGTTAAGGATACTTTGGTCTCATCAACTGGAAATTTAGTTCAAATCTTCTTTATGAAGTGAACTTATTAATATATATGCCAAATTAGGGTTTTTACCCAGATTTAATTGGTCACTAAACATGGAAGTGTGATAAAAGAAAGATTTAGTTTAAGATTTGGTTAAAATAAAAAGTACAAATGATGTAATTATATGCCCTGCTTATATAGTTGTAGAGTGAATGTTGTGTCCATTCATTTGTCTTTTCTTTTTTTTTTTTTCTTTAAAATTCAATTAATGCCATGCCTCCTCTTAATTCCTTAATTTTTTAATCTAAGCGATATACACTGTAAGAACCCTGTTGGAAATAAGCTGAAATGCTTGCATGGGTTATCCTTGGAGGAATATGTTATATATATAGCATGCCTTTTATGAATTAACGTATTTAATTCACGAAAAGTGTAACTTTGAGTGGATTAGATATGTTAATGAGTAAGGAGTGGCTATATATATATGATTTGTAACATTAATGGGCTATGTCACATGTCAAAGGTTAAATGCTGAGCAATAAAACTTTGCTGTACTATTAAATATATATATCAAATAGTGGCGTGATACTATCTGATTTCCAGAAAATTAGCACATGCAGCAGATGTCTGTTGGATTTGTATTTCAGATACAGGTACATGTATATGAATTGTTGCCGTGGGATTTTGACTCGATAGCAATTTATATGTTATTGAATAGTAGTTTTTTCTCCCCGAAAATTCTTGAGGGGGAAAAAAGGGGGGGGGGTAGATGCAAAATTTTATTCAATGTTTATCTGCCTTCAAACGGGGCTGAAAAGGACCTGTAGTTTCAAAGAAGTTTAATGTTGTGATAAAAAGGAAAAGTTTTCTAATATCAATAATGAAGGTAATTGATACTATCCTTCCATTCCCAATAACTGGAAAAAGATCGGTTCATTGATTGCATTGGTTGTTAATTGCATGTTAGGTCTAGGAACAAATATTTGATGGAGATAGACCTTTATAAAATGGAGGAAATTACTATTGGAGAGTGCAATAACTATAAAATCATCCAGTTCATGCACTCCTCTAAAAATAACAGAAGTTAAATCACTTGAAGATCAAAGGAAAAATTACCATTCACTTTAGAGTGCATTTTAGCATTCACGTATTTGTTTTATTTCATATTTTTAATTATGCATATTTTAAAATGTACTTGTTAAAGATTGATATAGATTCCTTAAATGAATTTTTGTTTTGCCTTTTACCTTTTGTCCCGACATAATATCCACAACTGTTGAGTGTCTTAATGCATCGTACAACTTCTATTTCATTTTAAAATCTAAATGATTTATGAAATTTACAATATGTTCAAAGGTGAGTAAGCATCTTGTTTCACAACTCCCCCTATATGACTGACTGGATTGTGTAAAGCCTTTAGAGAATCATTAGTACCTATCCGCATTGTGAACCTCCTTTTTACTTTCTTATTCAAATAAGTTTTGAAGGTCTCAAATAGCTGAACATGGTTTTTGTCTCATTTATAGGGTATTAATGTCTAAGCTATGCTTGCTGTTTTTCTAGTTTTATACATGTATATCTTTTAATTGTATATATTTTATCAGTTATGTGCTCTTTATATTAAGTACATTTTACATTTGAAAAAATACAGAAGAGCTGTAGTACATAGGATCCTGTAAAGAATACACATGAAAATGATACCACCATATCAATCTATTATTTGTAATGATTAAGGGATTCAGTGGCCGAGTGGTCTAAGTAGTTTAACTGCTGTATCACTAGCCTATAAACACTGAGGTTGTGATTTTGAATCCCGCACGTGGCATGTGCGTTCGAATCCAATCTTAATTGAATAGGATTGTCAGTTTTTCTACCGAAGTTCTGTGGTTCTCTCCGGGTACTCCAGCTTCCTCCACCAATAAAAACTGACTGCATTGAAATGGCGTTTAACACCAATAAATTAATCAATGTAATAATTAATATATGTTAAACTTTTATTTGTTTCAGATAAAGTATCAAAGACATTATCAGATACATTAATGGGATCTCTGACTATGGGAACTGGTGATGATGCTGATGGAGACTATGACTTTAATGTATTGGGATGATTGTTGGATGTTTTTAAATAAATAAAATTGAAATATACCGTAAACGTTCAAATTGGAGAAGACTACAAAAGTACTCAATTTATGGATTTATTTTGGCCATATGTACTGCAAATACCTATACTTTGATTGAAAAAACATAACAAGTTCCATGCATAAAATAAGATAATTCATGAATAACCTTCATCAGGACAAAAATAAAATTTAAATTGTTTGATGTTGCCTACCTACCCACCTAAAAAGCAGCCTACCCGTAAAAAAATGGACATAAATTGTTTCAATTTTTTTTAAAAATATTTTTCCCTGCTCTTATGTCGCTTTCTTGTTTAAAACTTGTAACTTATGCTGTTGGCCAAAAAAAATAAAATCCCTACCTACCTACCCAACCCTAGAAGGCATGGGTAGGCACCATCAAACAAATGATCTATTCAAGAATTAGTTTCATTTTTCTGAGACAAGTGCCTGTGCCATGCAGGCATATCAAGGGATGGAAAATGATACATTTACAAGCAACTTTGTTTTTATACGACCGCAAAAATTTTTAATTTTTTGGTCGTATATTGGTATGACGTTGGCATCGTCGTCGTCGTCGTCGTCGTTGTCGTCGTCGCCGTCGTCGGCGTCGTCCGGCGTCGTCCGAAGACACATTGGTTTTCGCACTCTAACTTTAGTTTAAGTGAATGGATCTCCATGAAATTTCACCATAAGGTTCAATACCACGAAAGGAAGGTTGGGATTGATTTTGGGGGTTATGGTACCAACAGTTAAGGAATTAGGGGCCAAAAAGGGGCCAAAAATAAGCATTTTTGTAACTTTCAGACAACAACTTGTGTGTAAGTGTATGGATCTCTCTGACATTGTACCACAAGGTTCCATATCACAAAGGGAAGGCTGTAATTGATTTTGGGGGTAATTGCCTCAAAATTTTAGGAATTAGGGGCCAAAAAAGGGGCAAAAAACAAGCATTTTTCTAGTTTCATGACAATAAGTTGTGTGTAAGTGTTTGGATATTTCTGAAATTGTACTACAAGGTTCCATATCACAAAGGGAAAGCTGGAATTGAGTTTGGGGGTAATTGCCCGAAACGTTTAGGAATTGGGGGCCAAAAAGGGGCCAAAAATAAGCATTTTTCTAGTTTCCAGACAATAACTTGTGTTCAAGTGTATGGATCTCTCTGAAATTGTACTGCAAGGTACCATACCACAAAGGGAAGGCTGGGATTGAGTTTGGGGGTGATGAATCATAAGGGGGTTCAAAAAATTTTGGGGGGGGGGGATTTTTTTTTTTTTTTTTTTCTTTTTTTCCTTTTTTTTTTCTTTTAAAATTTTCCATTTTAAGTTGGTTATTTCTGATTTATATTTAAAAGCAAATAATAATGATAGGGTAGGAGATACACACCAAACAGGATGTGTAAATTATTATATAATAAGTATTGTGCAATAGCAAGAAATTTTCAATTGCACAGTATTGCACTATAGCAAGAAATCTTCAATTGCACAGTATTGCGCAATAGCAAGAAATCTTCAATTGCACAGTATTGCGCAATAGCAAGAAATATCCAATAGCACAATATTGCGCAATAGCAAGAAATTGCCAATTGTACAGTATTGCGCAATAGCAAGAAATATTCAATTGCACAGTATTGTGCAAAAGAAGATACTTCGTATAAATTGCTTATTTCTTGATCAATTTCAATGGGGTTTTATTCTTGAATTCTTGGGGTTCTTTAATATGCTGAATCTAACCGTGTATTAAGTTTTTGGATTTTGGGCCCCGTTTTTAAATTGGTCCACATTGAGGTCCAAAGGGTCCAAAATTTAACTTTGTTTGATTTCATCAAAAATTGAATTATTGGGGTTCTTTGATATGCCAAATCTAACCGTGTAATAAGATTTTTAATTTTGGGTCCCGTTTTTTAAATTGGTCTACATTAAGGTCCAAAGGGTCCAAAATTAAACTTAGTTTGATTTTAACAAAAATTGAATTTTTGGGGTTCTTTGATATGCTGAATCTAAACATGTGTTTAGATTTTTGATTATGGGCCCAGTTTTCAAGTTGGTCCAAGTTGGGTCCAAAATTAAACTTTGTTTGATTTCAACAAAAATTGAATATATGGGGTTCTTTGATATGCTGAATCTAAATATGTATTTAGATTTTAGATTTTTGGCCCAGTTTTCAAGTTGGTCCAAATTGGGGTCCAAAATTAAACTTTGTTTGATTTCAACAAAAATTGAATATATGGGGTTCTTTGATATGCTGAATCTTACCATGTATTTAGATTTTTTATTTGTGGGCCCGCTATCAAATTGGTTCATATTGAGGTCAAAAGGGTCCAAAATTAAACTATGTTTGATTTCATCAAAAATTTAATTATTGGGGTTCTTTGATACGCCAAATCTAACCGTGTTTTTAGATTTTTAATTTTGGGTCCCGTTTTTTAAATTTGTCTACATTAAGGTCCAAAGGGTCCAAAATTAAACTTAGTTTGATTTTAACAAAAATTGAATTCTTCGGGTACTTTGATATGCTGATTCTAAACATGTGTTTAGATTTTTGATTATGGGACCAGTTTTCAAGTTTGTCCAAGTTGGGGTCCAAAATTAAACTTTGTTTGATTTCAACAAAAATTGAATATATGGGGTTCTTTGATATGCTGAATCTAACCATGTATTTTGATTTTGGACATTGGACCATAATAGGTAAATTAAAAAAATTGAAGTTCTTAGACCACATTCTTTCTGTGTCAGAAACCTATGCTGTGTCAAATATTTAATCACAATCCAAATTCAGAGCTGTATCAAGCTTGAATGTTGTGTCCATACTTGCCCCAACTGTTCAGGGTTCGACCTCTGCGGTCGTATCAAGCTGCGCCCAGCGAAGCATTTTATTGGTATTTGACTTGATTTGGGTTTTTTTCAAGAATGCCTGGTAATTATAAGTTCTTTCAATCTCCATATGAAACTGTGGTTACTCAGTTGAATTTGATTGTAGGAATTTTTGTTATACGACCGCAAAAATTTTTGCGGTCGTATATTGGTATGGCGTCGTCGTCGTCGTCTGGCGTCGTCCGAAGACACATTGGTTTTCGCACTCTAACTTTAGTTTAAGTGAATGAATCTCTATGAAATTTTACCATAAGGTTCAATACCACAAAAGGAAGGTTGGGATTGATTTTGGGGGTTATGGTACCAACAGTTAAGGAATTAGGGGCCAAAAAGGGGCCAAAAATAAGCATTTTTGTAACTTCCAGACATAACTTGTGTGTTAGTGTATGAATCTCTCTGACATTGTACCACAAGGTTCCATATCACACAGGGAATGCTGGGATTGATTTTGGGGGTAATTGCCTAAAAATATTAGGAATTAGGGGCCAAAAAAGGGGCAAAAAACAAGCATTTTTCCAGTTTCATGACAATAACTTGTGTGTAAGTGTATGGATCTTTCTGAAATTGTACTACAAGGTTCCATATCACAAAGGGAAAGCTGGAATTGAGTTTGGGGGTAATAGCCCAAAACGTTTAGGAATAAGGGGCCAAAAAGGGTCCAAAAATAATCATTTTTCTAGTTTCCAGACAATAACTTGTGTTCAAGTGTATGGATCTCTGTGAAATTGTACCACAAGTATCCATATCACACAGGGAATGCTGGGATTGATTTTGGGGGTAATTGCCTCATTTATTAGGAATTAGGGGCCAAAAAAGGGGCAAAAAACAAGCATTTTTCCAGTTTCATGACAATAACTTGTGTGTAAGTGTATGGATCTTTCTGAAATTGTACTACAAGGTTCCATATCACAAAGGGAAAGCTGGAATTGAGTTTGGGTGTAATTGCCTAAAACGTTTAGGAATAAGGGGCTAAAAAGGGTCCAAAAATAAGCATTTTTCTAGTTTCCAGACAATAACTTGTGTTCAAGTGTATGGATCTCTCTGAAATTGTACTGCAAGGTACCATACCACAAAGGGAAGGCTGGGATTGATTTTGGGGGTAATTGCCTAATCTAACCGTGTATTTAGATTCTTAATTTTTGGTCCTGTTTTCAAATTGGTCTACATTAAGGTCCAAAGGGTCCGAAATTAAACTTAGTTTGATTTTAACAAAAATTGAATTCTTGGGGTTCTTTGATATGCTGAATCTAAACATGTACTTAGTTTTTTTATTATGGGCCCAGTATTCAAGTTGGTCCAAATCGGGGTCCAAAATTAAACTTTGTTTGATTTCAACAAAAATTGAATATAAGGGGTTCTTCGATATGCTGAATCTAACCATATATTTAGATTTTTGATATTTGGGCCCGGTTATCAAATTGGTTCACATTGAGGTTTAAAGGGTCCAAAATTGAACTTTATTTGATTTCATCAAAAATTGAATTCTTGGGGTTCTTTGATATGCTGAATCTAACCATGGATTTAGATTTTGGATATTAGAATACCACAAAGGGATGGTAAGAATTGTCTTTGGGAGTTATGGCTCAAACCGTTAAGGAATAAGGTGCAAAAAAGGGGGAAAAGGGTTTCCAGGTTAATGGACAATTACTTAAGTACAAAACATAATTTAAAAGGCAGTGTAAGGTTGGTAATTGAAACTCATTTGAATATCTCACCTAAACTGCTTTTAAATTATGTATATTGGAAATTTGCCAAAAACTTTATTATTAATAAATTCCATTGGAAATTTGCCAAGTACTTTAGTTTAATGAACTTCATTGGAAATTTGCCAATATAAAATGTTGCTGATGGAGCTTTTTTGTTTATCTCACCTAAACTGCTTTTAAATTATGTATATTGGAAATTTGCCAAAAACTTTATTATTAATAAATTCCATTGGAAATTTGCCAATAACTTTAGTTTAATGAACTTCATTGGAAATTTGCCAAAAACTTTATTTTTAATATATTTCATTGGAAATTTGCCAATAACTTTAGTTTAATAAACTTCATTGCATTTTTTCTAGTTTCCAGACAATAACTTGTGTGTAAGTGTATGGATCTCTCTAAAATTGTACTGGGGGGGGGGGGGGGGGGGGGGGGGGGATTTTTTTCCCC